ACAAGGCAGCCAAGTGATCTTTATGAAATTTCTGATCTAAGATCCCCGATATGACGGAGGTTCTTTCGGCTTAGGTCGTGCAGGAATGGAAGGCTCAGATGCTCTCTGAAGAGGGTGAAATTGACCACAGCCGATGTGGACAAGGCAGGTTTTTTTCTTAATAACGGCAAAGGTCTTTGTTCCGCTATTGGCCATTATATTATTTTCTTCTAAATCTAGTATTAGATTATTGTGTTGCACGGGAAATATATAAATTTCTTACAAGCTAATTTAGGCTTAAGGTAATTTATCAGGAAATATAGTAATTCGGAATTTTGAAAAGCTTTTATATTGGATACTTCTAAAAGGTCTGTTATACTAATATTTGTAAGCTGCTCATTTAACATATCGTTAATGTCAATGCTGTCCAGCATAAGGGGGCTGATTAGATTAGTTCAGCAAGGGATACGGAAAGAATTAAGTCTTCAAGATTTATGATTATCATTTCCTTCTTCGCTAAGATTGTTGCATAAAAATGCTCAAATTTAGCATCTGGTTTAAGGATTGCATTAAGTGCCCTTGGAACTTCATAAATCTTGTTTGGAAATTGTTGTTGATCTCGATTTGTCTATTTTCTACATCTATTTACTGACACTGTTTGAATTTTATGTGCTCCCAGTCATCAAAATCTGAGGTTCCTGTAATTATCTCAAGGGCACTGCCTATCATATTTATACCCCGTGCTTGCCTATGATGAACATTCAGAGTAGCTATTAGGGTGGCTATATGTTGGATGTCAGTTTTCAGTTCTTGTTTTAGTGGTCTTTCGGCAGTTTGTCTAGCAGTTTCCATGTCTCCTCGATGTAGATTTCAAACGATGTCAAGTTTGTCGTGTGTTCCAAGTAGCTCGACCCAGATTGTCACGTCTCCGTCGACTATAGGTATGTAGTCCACATGTGAATAGTCGTTGAGTTGCAGTGTCGCTTCGGTCATAGTTATCACTGTCAGAGCTAGAGAATATCTTAACCTAATATGATGGTATCGGAGTCTTCCCTATCTCTTGTCTGATCGGGTGCCAATTATGTTTGCTCACAGCGCACACTGGGCAGTTTGCGGCTATTTCTGTTGTTAAAAGGAAAATTTTTGGAAAAAGAAAAGTCCCCTAGCTATTAGTTGGGCATTTTCTTGAGCCGCGTGATGGGCACGATTATGCTCAGCTATAGCTATTTCTCTCTGTTTTGCTGTGACTGAGATGTCTATTACAAGATTTTTTGAATGTCGTAACGTTGTCGACCGAAATTCTTTGACCAGTCTATGCTGGATAAAGGCCAAAATGGGGAGCTCGCAATATATTGCGTTGGTTACCTCGGCATTTACAACTTCTTGCAGGGTTCGCATCAGTGTGCTTCGATCGGGAAACTGAATGACATATCGTGTTTTTGTTTTGAACAAGTCTTGTGTTGAGGGATAGGGCTAATTTCCAATATGATCTGGTTTCGGAAGTAGTTGACTGGCTTATCTGTCGTCTTAATTGTGTAAGTCAGAGACTCTGCGCTGTGGATTATAGCAGAATCGGATTCTGCTGAGTCCTCCAAGGCATTAATATTTTGGCGAGAGAGGGCGTCTGCCATGAGGTTTTCCTTGCCTGGTTTAAAAAGTATATTTGCGTTATGTTCGTCAACAAAGGCTTTTCAGCGTTTTATCTAAGCGTTCTGATTTTTATCCGATACGGTAAATGTCAACGGCTGGTGATCTGTATAGTTGTTCAGATTTTAAACTACATACTAATATTTTCTGAGATTTTTCAATAACCACACAATGGCCAGAAGTTCTCGCTCGTTTGTGGAAAAGTTTATCTCATTGTCTCACAGTGTGCTCGAGATCATTGTTATAGGGCGACCGCCCTGGGACAGTACTGCTCCAAGCCCTTGGTCCTGACGCGTCTGTCGTTAGGTCAAATGGTTTTTTATATCGGGATGTGATAACATCACATTTGGCTAGCAACTCTTTTAGCCTGTAGAAGGCATATAATTGGTCTGGGGTGTTTCGAGTTTTACCTTTTTCAAGTGGTTGACGCTTATTTTTCCATTTTCGACTTTCAAAATCTCCGTTAGGGGTCTTGCGATGCTAGCTAATCCCGCTATAAAGCATCTGTAATAACTTGCTAATCCTAGAAATGATCTGAGGCCAAACAATGTTTTTGGTAGTTGGAAATCCTTTATGGCTTGAATTTTATCGGCCGAACGGTGGATTCCGCCTCTGCATACGATAATCCCAAATATTCCCCATTCTGTTTGAAGAATTTGGACTTTTCTTTGGAAACCCTCATTTCTAAGGCTTTTTAAGACCCACTCAATGTGATTGGTGTGGTCTTCCTTGTTAGGGGAGAAAGTTAATACGTCATCTACTTAGACGTAACAAGTTTTCCCAATCTGATCCTTGAGGTCGTCATCTATTGCCCTCTGGAAGATGCTAGTTTGTTTTTTAGCCCAAATGGAAGCCTGCAAAATTCATACTTCCCATTGTTTACAGAGAATGCAGTCACTTTTCTGTCGCTTTCCGCCAACTCTATTTGGCCAGATGTTAAGTCCAGTGTTGAGGAATACTGGGCCTCACCCATAATCGAAAAATTGTTGGGATAAGATATTTATCGTCGGTTGTCTTTTGATTCAACTTCCGAAAATCAATTACCAGACGTTTTTTTTGTGGCCCAACTCGTCGACATATATTTTGTGGACGACCCACATTGGGTTGTTATATGGTGACCTTGAGGTCTAATTATGCCGTTCGTCAGTAGTTGTTCAACTTCTGCATTGCCAAATTCAGACACGCCCATTGGTATATTACTTAGAATATACCGGTTTGCCGTCCGTTCGGATTGTGGCGATAATGTTTCTATTATAGGGCAGAGATTCGATTATGTCTGCGAAAGCGTTAGCCATCCGGACAATCATCTGATTCAAAGTGGGTCTAAACGCGGCAGGAACATTCGCGTCACTAATTTGGTTCACTTGTTTGCATGTTGTGAACTTAATTTTTTCTCTCCCTCGTTCGTGTTTTATAATGTTGTTATTCAAATTTATTTGGGCTTTAATCTGTTTTAACAGATCAAAGCCGATTATGCAATCGAAATCTTTTAATGTTTCTAGCACGAAAAATAATGATTTTTCGCTTTAAGGTCATTTCTGCTCAATTTTTGTATGCACGTGGATTGATTTGACTTGGAATGGGCAATTGTCTGGCTTCCAATGCGCCAACTCGGGAAGGGGTTTTATGCAATTTTTAGATGCTCCTGTGTCTATCAGGAGCCTGATTGTTCGCCCTACAACCGTGCGTCTTATAAATGCTAAGAAAATGTACAGCTTTCTGCTCCTGACTGGTCATATTCGACAGCCTCTGCTACATGTTGTGAGTGTGACTCGTAGCCCTTGTTATCCTCTTCTTGGGGCAAATGATTATGGTTTTGTTGGGTTTTCATAGACTGGTCCCCATAGTTTTGGTTGCCTCTGTAGCCCTGTGTGGGCTGCCTAAGGCGTGAGGTAGTGACCACTTCCATTGGTTCGGGGTCACGCCCTTGTGGTGTTTGAGACTGAAGGCGCCGTTTTGAACTGCCTGCTTTCTGCTGGCCCTGATAATTGTCTTTTTGACCCTTTTGAAAATGGGGGTACCTTCTCTGAGATTTATCCTCATTCTTCTGCTGATCGTTATATCGACAGTTTTGGATCTTTTGGCTACTAGACTTTTGGGGTTTTTCTTTAAGGTGCTGCGCAAAGTTGGCTGCAAAGATGCATTTTCGTTGCTTGACTTCTTGGGCTAGAGCCAGGGGAGTTGGAAGGTCTTGGGGATGAGCTTTAAAAATGGCCCACCTCAAGGACTTCCTCAATCCCGAGACAAAAGGTTGGAGAGCATCACTCCTGAGTTTCTCGTTTAAGACAGCCGCTGCGGCGAGGTCATGTGTCATTAAGGTCTTGTTCGTCAGTAGTGTATGTTTTTTTTCGACTTCGTCGTAATACTTTAACAATGGTAGGTCACCTTGCCTGAGCGTGCTTAGTTGTGGTTGGATCACGTGCACTGGTGTTTTATTAGCAAATGTGAAATCTAATCTGGCAATGATACCCTAAAGTTCAACACTGTATTAAATGAGGCAAGTACCGCGTCCGCTGGGCCTCTTACTTTATTGCGGATTATACGTACGGCCTGATAGCCTCGAGCTGCCATCATATGGCTCAATTACTTTGTAGGCGGCGCAGGCGGCCTGTCTCCATGAGACATAGTTTCCTTGTTTTCCGTCAAATTCTGGAATAGACTTTATGATATCTTAGGCTTCTTTGCATTAAATCCCTGGCACTATTTGTATTTCCTGGTAATCTTCTATTTGCGAGGAACACCCTTAAGTCTTTTAAATTGTTCTGTTATACTAGATATCTGTTGCCGGCAGACAAGCCGGCAGAATGCTGAGTCGGCGTCTCTTGCGAGCAATCAGGCCACTTGGGCGTGCGAGTGTCAAATTTTGTCTGTAACTCTGTTGCAACGGCATCCGGCCCCAATGCCGTATTAGCTTTAATTGTCTCGCGCGTATTAACTTACACAACACTCACCAAATAACAAGTTTTCAACTTCCACCATTTTTTTTACTATTTTTTTTTAAATTTCTATGCTACTTTATTTTCGACAGATCGTTCCTATGGCAGATATATGATATAGTAATCCGATGTAAATATAATGTTGCAGAGAACATAGAACATAGGGCATAGTTAAACTAATAATGCCGATTTTGGTCACAATGTCTTGTTAAGCAAAATGTTTTTCATACAAGAACCTATTTTTCGACCGAACTATAACTATGGCAGTTATATGATATAGTAGTTCGATCCGATCGACATATGTACTGCGAGTAACAGAAAGAGGCACTTCTGCAAAGTTTCATTAAGATAGCTTTAAAACTGAGAGATTGGTTCGCATAGAAACAGACAGACGGACAGTGGGACATGTCTATATCGACTCGGCTGTTGATACTTTTCAAGAATATATATACTTTATGGGGTCGGAGATCTCGTTCTACTTTTTAATAATATCCCCTTTCTGCGGAAGGCACACCACTTGCCGAGCTCATCGCAAGTCTTAGGTTTTTATTACAGTGTAGCTGCAACTCACCATACAATTGCAAGAATTTCTGTACACACACACATTCTCGCTCGTCTTTATTGAGTTTAATCAACAGTATTGCAATTTCGATTGTACTGTTTTTGTGCTAGTGTTTAAATCCATTTTTTTCTCATTGGCTCCATTGTTTGTGTGGCTGCTAAGTAGAGGCAGCTTTAACTTAAAACTTGTAAGTATTGCGGTCTGTTACGAGTGCAAGTCCTTTGTGAAAACTATTATATTCCAGTGTCAGATTAGACAATGCATACACACAAGGTATCCCTATCCCTCGAAGCTCTGGGTTGCCGGCAGAAACGCCGGCATCTCGATGAGTCAGCGGCTCGTGACCGTCCATCGTTTTTCACTCAGCGAGCGCATGCGAGGTTATCGGGTATCGTTGCCTGTTCAGCAGCCAAAATCATCTGACCGTTGCATCACGGGCATCGAGTACCGCGTTCCACTCAGCAACAACTTTGTTGCGCGTGTTAAATCCTCCCACAAATAAGTGAGGGTCGTCCTCAGTGCTCCTTGGATAAGCTTCAGGGTCCTGGGTGTTCTCAGATATGGACTGACGTGTCCGTTTCAGATGACGCAAGATGATCACCGTGACACAGCTGCTCATGATGGGTTTTGATAGTATATCGTCTTTCAATTCGCTTATGTGCTGCGAGCATGTCTTCCAAATCTAAAATTATTTTATTACTTTGTACGGGACAAACAATGATTTTCTTACAAACTAGTTGAGGGATTGGGAATATAATTAGGAAGTGTACGGTGTGATTATTTTGGAAAGCTTTAATACTAGATACTTTCAAAATGCTAACTACACCAACGTTTGTGAGATGACTGCTCGGATGTTGACGTTGTTTAGGATAGATGCGCTTGTTCTAGTGTCTTTTCCTCGGGCTCTTGGATTTTATCTTTTATGTCCCTCTCCACATTGGCGCAAGCAGATTGAATTAGCTCGGTAATTTTTTTACTTGTTATCAAGTGTATTGTACGATCAGTCATAAGTACCAATTCCACCGTGTCGTAGATTTTTGGATCGATCTTTATACAAAGAGCTATTTCAGTGAGGTTGCTATGGAACCTTTCAACTTGCCCATTTGACGATGTGGATGTTGAAGCTGTTCAATAAAACGGACTTGATGGCTTCGGAGATCAGCGATTTCTCGTTATCGCAGTAGATTGTAGAAATTTTTGGGAAAAGGCTGACCAATTGGATAATTGGAAATTTAATATCTACTATGGAGTTTGGAGAACTCTACTATGAGTTTGGAGAATTTACCGATACTGGTGAGGAAGGACTTTCTTTCTGACCGAGGGTTTGCTTGATCGGGTGGCGATTGTATTTTGCCATCGAGCAGGTTCTGCAATTAAGTGCTACTTCCGTAGCTAGCTTAGCCATCTATGGAAAGAAATAGTTCGTTAAGACTTGTTTCACGTTCTCTTGGGCTACGCGATGAGCGCGGTTATGTTCAGTTACCATTATCTCCTTTTGTTCGGAGAGTTCGGTAATGTCTGTGACAAGAAATTTAGAGTGATTAAATGTTATCGAAGGGAATGTTTCGACTATTTTGTATTTGTGATAAATGCCAATATCGGTAGCTCGCAATGGATTGCGTTAACTATATCGACCCTTACTGCTCTAACAAAGTTTTCCATAGCGTGTCGCGTTCGGAGAATCTAATTACGTGCCTAATTTTTTCTTTAAAATAAATGAAATTTGATACATGCTTCTTTTGTTATAATCTTATTACGGAAACAGTTAACTGACTTGTTAACAGTTGTTAAACAGTTGTTTATATTGTGTAAGTGACTGATCCCTCACTGTGGCAGATGGCAACGTCCGAGTCCGGGCTATCTTCTATCGTATTTACTAGCTGGTGTGACAGGGCATCCGAAACAAGTTTTTCTTTTCCCAGTTTAAAAATTAGATTTCCACCATGTTCATCGATAAACGCTTTCCAACGTTTTAGCATAGCATTAGGATTCGAACGTTGGACACCGCGAATGAAAGTGGTGGTGGTTTGTGAAGATATTTATATGCCTAACAGCATAAAGATAGTTTTGAAGCTTATTAAGTGACCCTACTATGGCAAGCAGCGCCCCTCTCATGATCGCGAAGTTTTGTTTGTTGTCGTGCAGCGTGCGTACAATCATTGTGATTGGAGGGCCGTTCTGATATAGAATAGCTCCTAGACCATAACCGGAGGCATCGGTGGTATAAGTTTGAATATACCGGTTCCCCATTTGTTCTTATAGTTGCGATGGTATTGATATTTAAAGGCAGAGCTTCGTTAGGGTCTGGGAATGCTTTAATTCTTTTCTTAATCATTTTGGCAAATGATTCTCGGACGGTTGTCAGAACATCGCCATCGTCAACTTGAATAAAATTGTCGTTGGGGGAACTTGTAAAATGGATGGGTTCTGAGCCGTATCTCGTTTTTATTTGATTATTAGAGAAGCCAATGGTGGCATTGACTTTTTATCTAGACAATCTATTATTGGATTGAAATGCAACACCTCGTTGTACAATGCGAGCATGACATCTGCATCGCCTTTAATTGTATTCCTTATAATACCAACAGGTAGATAATGTCTGCTGCTACCCACATATTTCATATGCTGCATGAGCAGGGAAGTGCCAAGAGACATATTTTTCTTGACTACCATCAAAATTAGGCATTGATCTCACCATGTCAAGGGGCTCGTGTCATCTGTCTATCTGTCATCACCCTATTGAAACACTTCGACTTGGCGGCCACCATGCTTTTGATCTGTTGCTTATTCATATTATTATCTTAGATGGGTCGGCACCAGTGTTGGTGTCATTGCCAACACGGTTCGAGTCTTGATAAGCTATATGGTGTGTGTTCTTGCTAATTCAAGGGGTGTTGTCTCTGATATATATTGGTGTTGGATCGAAAGCCTTTTTTTGACCTTTCAAGAATCTTATCTCAAGTGGGCGTGTGTGGATGGTATGAAGTTTTAATAAAGGTTTTACAAATTTATGAGCAACACGACTGACTTCTATGATGATGCTTACAGAACTGGTTTCTTAACATAAATTAAGATTAAAAGGACCGAGCAATAACAAAGTTCGAAAGAGAGCGAGGCTTCGTAAATGTGTATGAGTGCTTATGACATTCAAATAGAAGAGAATTAGCATAATCTTAACATGATCTGCTTTGACATTGCTATTAATACCCTGACTAATATATATATGAGGTATATGACCGAACTTCCGGCCGCTTTGAAAAATTATCTTTCAAGAGACAGTTAGAACGGCCAGCTTATATACTGGCCGGCAACAGAGTCCAGAGGCAGTGCGAATATATGCGAAACGAACCCGGTCATCTTTGCCACTCACAACAGACTCAACACGCCCTAATTTTAAGTGTAATGGCGGTGTGTTGTCCTCATGTATGATGACCATAGAGTCAACTGTGAGATTTGGAGAAGCCGAAGTTCATTTTGTCCTGGCTCGAAGCTCGTTCACATACTCCGCAGACCAACGACGCCAGAATTGCTGTTTAACAGCTGTGATCTGCTCGTAACGATCCAAGTTGGAGATGTTGTTGGTGATAATCTCACGTTTGGGCAAAGCGCGCGGTGCATCTCCATTTAGAAAGTGTCCTGCAGTGAGAGCGCTGAAGTCGTTGGGATCAGATGATAGCGGTGTCAGCAGGCGAGAGTTGAGTACTGTTTCTATTTCAACGACTGCGGTGTTCAGTTCCTCAAAGGTGAACCGGGTGCTAGCGGGGGGAACGCACCAGCAGACTCTTTGCGCTCTTGACAGCGGCCTCCCAAAGACCGCCAAAGTGTGGAGCCCAAGGTGGAATGAAATGAAAGGTTATCTCTTTAGAGGAACAATATGATAGGATAGCATCTTGAGTGCTAGTGTTGAACATGAACTTCTTTAACTCGAGTAGCTTGTTGGATGCTCCGACAAAATTTGTGGCGTTGTCACAATAGATGTGCGATACTGGTCCGGGCAACCATGCGTTTCAACGATTTCAAAAACTTATTCGTTAAAGGATCTGACACGATTTCAATGTGAACGTCCTTTACGGCCATGCAGACATATATGGCAATATAGGATTTTGTGGGACCTTTGCCACGTATTCGAAGATAGGTGTTCACTGGACCGCGGAAGTCGACTACAACGTGGCGAAATGGCTTGTCTGTGGATAAGCGCTCAGGTGGCAGGAAACCCATGACTTGACGAAGTAGAACGGGACGATATCTGACACAGTGTACACAAGAACGAACAATGCTGCGTGCTAAAGCTCTTCATTTATGACCCAGAATTGAAGCCGCAGCAGTCCAACAAATGCCTTTGGTCCTGCATGGTAATTGCGCAAGTGAAGATGCCGAACATAATTGTGGACAAATTGCGATTCCTTGGGAACAAGTTAAGGATGCCTTTGACGAAAGGGGATATCAGCATGCTCGAGTCTGCCGCCAACCTTAATGAGCTCGTATCCAAAAGCGTCATCTATGAAGGGGCTGAGAAATTTCAGATTGCTTTTCAAATCTCTTTGTTTCCTTAGCAATTGCAAATCTTCCTTGAAATAGTGCTGTTGGATGATCCTGATGATGCAGTGCAACGCGTGGCGAAGTTCTTCTGGGCATGGCGGCGAACTTTCGACAGGGTGTTCCTTTTTGGCACTATGGTAACACCGGAACATATATGACATAACTTGAAGCGCCCGAATGTATGAACTAGTTCCGTTCAGCCAGTCCAGAATAGAATTACTTTCGATAATTGCAGCAAATGTAGACTTCCGTTTTTCAGCATCGATGATGTCCATGTCCAAATCATTGTCGAATTGTTGGCAGGGCCATTGAGTTTCGGAATCACACTGAAACGCAGGTCCTGCAAACCAAATTGATTGCTGGAGCTCATTAGCTGGGCATCCACGTAACACGATGTCAGCAGGGTTCAATTTTGACGGTACATGTCTCCACTTTCCATCTGCTGTTTGATCTTGTATAATGGATACTCTATTTCCAACAAATGTCGACAAGGTGATAGAGTGTTTTTGCAGCCAGTGCAAGACAATCTGCGAATCAGACCAGAAATGCGCGCTGTGCGGCTTGCCGATGAATTTGTCTTTGACAGTTGTATATAACTTACTCAGAAGTTGAGCTCCGCTTAACTCTAATCGAGGAAGCGTCAGCTTCTTTACAGGAGCCACCCGAGATTTAGGTGTCAGAAGCTGAACCTGGACATTGCCATACGAGTCCGTGGAACGCACATATACTCAACAGCCGTAAACACGTATTGATGCGTCCCAGAAAGCGTGCAGTTGTATGTGAGCTCAGCTTGCAAGCAAAAACGGGGTACTGAAATCGACGACTATTCCTTGAGGGACGTTACGCATTTTCTCCATGCTTGTAGAAGTGATTGCGGAACAAATTCATCCCAGGCGAGTTTTAGCAGACATAGCTTCTGTATGATGATTTTCGAGACGATAATGATTGGTGCCAGCAATCCTAATGGATCGAACAAAGAAGACGCAGTCGAGAGAATAGCCCTCTTTGTGACTGTTGAATACAATTTTTTGGGTTTAAATTCAAATAGTAGTACATTACGACGTTGATCCCAAGCTACGCCAAGTGCGCTAGTGACAGCGTTTTCATCCAAGTTTAAATCCTTTACCGATTCGTCGTTCCTGACGACGGGATGATTGGAGTGCCACTTAACCAATGGGAAGTGTCCTTGGCGAAGTATCTCGGTGACCTCGTGTTTGATGTTTTGCAACTCGATGAGCTCGTTTGCTCCGTATAGCAGATCATCAACATAAAACGATGATTGTACAATGGATGCGCCAATGGGAAACTCGTTAACATGGAGATCTACCAGATATTGCAAACTGCGAACTGCTTAGTATGGGGCCGAGGCCGTTCCATACGTCACTGTATTTAGCTCAAAGGTCTGCAAATCAGCATCAGGGGATGCTCTCCAAAATATATATTGAAATTTTCGATCCACTGGGCTGACTAAAACTTATCTATACATTTTCGTAACGTCCGCTGTGATGGCGTAACGAACTAATCGAAAACGAAGGAGAACTATATACAGATCTTCTTGGAGTGTTGAGCCAACGAGAAGCAAATCATTCAATGAATGCTGGGACGATGAAGTGCACGAGGCGTCAAACACGACTCGTAACTTCGTTGATGCACTGTTGGGTTTAAAAACACAATGGTGAGGAATATAAAAGTGTGGCTCACTTAATCTCGGATTCGTCACTAAAGTCATATGGCCAAGATCCTCATATTCTTTCATGAAGGTTACATATTGCGATTGAACAGTAGGCTGCTGACTGAGGCAATTCTCGAGCGATAAAAAACGACGACGTGCAACATCGCTTGAATTGCCAAGGCACATTGGATCTCCCTTGAAAGGTAGACGCACAACAATCCTGCCGTTATTTATCTGTGTTGTCCTTGAAAACATATCTTTAAAGAGCCGATGTTCTGGATTGATTGAGAGAATTTTCTAGAGCATCAATGCTCCACAGTAATTGAAGATTTTCGTCAATTGACTCCTTCACAGAAAGCAAGCGATACTTGCCAGACACAACCCATCCAAGCAACGTTTTTTGAAGGACTGGCAAATTGCCTACGAGCTTACTAATCCCAACAGCCAGGCATTCGAAAACTGCTTCGGTACCGAGAAGGAGATCAATCCGACCTGACCTGTGGAAAGTTTCGTCCGCAAGTGGTGTATTCGCAGGCAACCTCCAATCTGAGGTGTCGATTTCCGAATCCGGCTGGTAGGCAATGTGAGACGTTATGCAGAACTGTAGTGTTACTTCAAATGGTGACAAACAAGAATTAATTCCAGTAGTTGTACAGTTGTTAATTTTAGTCGAGGTCTCCCCTATGCTGCGGATTTCGAAATGATGCTTATCACGGCGTAGATGCAGCCGTTGGGCGAATTGATCAGTTATGAAATTGACTTGGGAACATGAGCCAAGCAATGCTCTGCCTTGTTTATACGCCCCTGACGAACCTCGCACTAGTACCTTTGCAGTAGCAAGAATTATTTGTCCGCCTGGCGATTGATTCAGAAGGACATTTGCGCTATGGATGATGGCGATGTAGACGATGATGATGCAGGCGGTTGGCCAAAATGCAGAAGCGTGTGATGGCGATGCTTCCAGCTTCGACAACGATTGTTAGACGGACACTGAGCCATCCGATGTCCTAATTGAAGGCAATTAATGCAAAGTCCAGCATTTTTTACGACTCCGTACTTTAGTTTAGGACTCATGTCTTGAAACTGAGAACATTGTACAATTTTATGGTCGGAGCTGGAACAAACAATGCATTTGGGATTAGTAATAGCAAATGATAATCCCTTGCTAGGCTTGTACACGTGTTTTTGTTTCGAAGAATCAGTTATTCTATACGATGCAATGCCGCTTGATAACAGAAACTGACAATGACGTTCCAAAAAAGTTGTGCAGTGAGCCGAATTTGGCAATGTACGTAAGTCAAGAGACTCATTCCACTTGTTACGAGTTTGCTGGTCACATTTTCCGATGACGATGAATATCAACATGGCTTGGGCAATATCTGATCCGGTACCCAATGACGATAATGATGAATACAGGGCTGACGCATTGTCCAGCAGACTGCGCAGCTGATTTCCGTCCGGTTTGTCGACTGGCTGTAGATTGAATAGTGATTCTATGGTGTCAAAAATGTAAGTGTAGGCTTGTCATAACGTTCACTTAAACGAGCAAGAGCCTTGGGATAATTTTCCTGAGTGACTTGGAATGCCTTTACTGCTTGTAGGGCAGGGCCCTTCAAGCAATTCAGCAGATGATTAAACTTTTCAATGTTCGAAAGAGAGTGCTCACGACCAATAATCTGATTGAATGATGTAATGAAGTTTTTAAGCTCTGCTCGTTTTTCATCAAATACAGGCGGAGTCAATTGAGGAAGACTCGATGGCGGCGAAGAGCGAATTGGAGCAGGGTTAGAAAATGAGGTGCTGTGCAGTACATCATCCAGTTGGGATTGGATGGACAATGGATGATACTCACATATGTGTCTTTCACCTCTGCAACTCCATTGTCCTGAGGATCTTCCAATTCAATTTCAGATTGTACTTCCAAAACCTCCTTAATGTATATCTCCAACATGTCCAAGCGTAATTGTAGCTCACCGTGTGATAATCTTTTTTCACTGCCATCGACCTCAGTAGACACTCTTACAACATCCTCTAAGTGTGCGACATTGCGTTTTATGTTCGCTCGCTTACGTAAGTTTGCTTCAAGAGTTGACATTATGTATCGAGAATGTTGTGATCACCGATGTGACCGAGCGGCAGTTTTGATACTGCAGAATTTTCACAGCCTAACTTTAACCTGATAATGTCACTCTCAGCAATGTGAGCGAGCGAGTTCAAATGCTCCCACTGTTAACAGAACAGCTAAGACTTGTAAATGTTGCGCTCGCTGATGTGAGGGTCGCTTGCAGTGATGAAGCAAAATGCAAAGAACAAGCAGAGGCAGCGAGTTTCCAGCGACGAAGCAACGGCAACGAGAAAGGAGATGTGAGGAAAAGGCAATGAGCAATCAAACTCAGAGCGTATCCAGCGCGAAGTAACGGCTACAAGAATGCAGTAGCGAAGCGAAGGTAACAAGAAAGAAGAGCTGGCCAAATGTTGCTGTCGATGCTGTATTTTGCGAGGAGTTCGATGAAACCTTTTTCCAACGAAATATTGTGCGGCAACGATATGCCGGCAATTTCCACACACTATCCCCAATGTTGGGCGCCAAAATGTTGGATCAAAAGCGTTTTTTTGACCTTTTAAGAATCTTATCTCAAGTGGGCGTGTGTGGATGGTATGAAGTTTTAATAAAGGTTTTACAAATTGATGAGCAACACGACTGACTTCTATGATGATGCTTACAGAACTGATTTCTTAACATAAATTAAGATTCAAGGGACCGAGCAATTACAGAGTTCGAAAGAGAGCGAGGCCTCGTACATGTGTATGAGTGCTTATGACATTCAAATAGAAGAGAATTAGCATAATCTTAACATAATCTGCTTTGACATTGCGATTGATACCCTGACTAATGTATATATGAGGTATATGACCGAACAATCGGGTTTGAAAATCTTCTATGTTCGCGGTCAGGGTCTTGAATGAAACATGAGGATCGCATATATCGCTCGTTTGCTTTTTGATATTTAAAAAAAACAAGTTATCTTTTGATGAGTTCATTGACATTATAATAATTTTAGGTTAAAGGGTTTTATGACAGGCAATTAACGATCAGAATATATATCAAGTGTCTGGATCCATACCATTTTCATTGCCTTTTTATTCAATTGTGCCTTTTGCGGCTGCAAGCCCACCGCAGGCATGCCAAAAAAAACAAAGACCGTGTCAGTCGCCCAAATTTACGCACCCTTTGATGAAAATAACTCTGCCTCACGACAACCCCTTGATCAGCTCATTCGCACACATTCGTGTGTGTGTGTAGAGCTCGAAATTGTCAAATGCCAAATACTTAAGATTTTGTCAAATTTGCATCGGACAGGCAGGCAGGCAACCAACACGCACACAAACGCACTAATGCTTCTATCCATATAGAAAAGTGTGTAAGTGTGCGTGGTTAGCCCATGCACACATGCTATCTTTGAGGTACCCTCACCCTTTCTACAAGCACGGAAAATAGCAATTTGGCACACAAACAGGCCAAACCCTTTAATAATATCACACAACTGCTTACTGTGTGTGTGCACATGCACAAGCAGCAAGTCGCAAAAATTGAACATAGTCAATTTTTGTTGTCAAAGTTTTGTTACAAGCCGACGAAGAATTACCCTTGCAGAAATACGACTTATATATTTTTGTAATATTAGCAAAATAGGTCCCTACAGTAAACAGAAAATAAATATAAATATTTTATTTAGTTCAATAAATTGTGTATTAAATAAAATAAGATCTAATTCAAAGAAATACACGATAGAGCCTTCAAATATAAGTGCCTGTTGCTACCACAGGCACAAAAGGCACAATGTGCGCGCACACACAACACAAACATATGAGTGCTTGTAGATCTCGCGGTTTTGTGGGAAGCTATGCAGGGAGAAAAGATGGACGCAAGTGCGCGAAGCAAGTGAGGGCGAGGCACATGCATACACACATATGTTTATGGGCTGTGAGGATTTAAAAATGGTATATGTACATATATTAAGAAAACGCATCAGACGCAGCGACGTTGTGCGCTGAGCGAGATGCAGCTTCATACTGAACGTTCAGCTTTCGAATATGGCTTTCGGCTGCCACTCTCAGCAGTCGTAATCTGTTTGGGCTTACTAAAATGATCGCAGGTACCCTTGGGGTTGCCTCGTGTCTATACATTATATGGTTAGTGCTAATAGCCTCTGTCCACTGGATTAAGAAATGTCACGTTTTCAAGATTCACATATTGGTGTTCTACCGATTGTCGGTAACATGTGAGTGGCAAAAGTACAGCTTTTTTAAAAAAACAGCTGATCGAGTTTCTTTAATTTGCATAAGCGCCGCAACGTTTTTCTTCCAAAACTCAAAAATTGCGCTCTCGAAGTAAGGGCTCCATTTTAGGTACTCTTTTCGAGATTTCGCAATGTTTAAATTAAAAAAAAAAAAAAACATTATTCTATTCTAATTATTATTATTATTATTATTCTAATTTTAAATTTCTTATTTAAAGTTGGCGCTGTTTATGGTTACGATACTTTTACATCGCAAAAATACTAAATGTTCGGGGCAAACTTACAATGTGTCATGTGACATTTTTGAAAAATGTGTGATATGTGTTTATTTTATGGGGAAACGTACAGGCTGCATTTCACACATTTGTCGAAAATTTGATATTTTCTGAAATGTGTATGAAATGTGCTTAGTGGACAAAGGCTATAAGGCTTGCGACTTCGTTTAAGTAATCTGTTTTTGTCAATCTGTCACTGATCGGGTTCTTAACCGCACTAAGTGTCTTAGCTACAGCGATTCTTTCTCTACAGCTAGAAATTAATTCTTCGTCGCCACCCATTAACATTTCGGTTGAGAATAAAAAGTGTGTAGTCTGTTTTATTTGGCAGAGGACAGGCTTTCACTTATTTCAGAAAACTATATTTTTTTACAATATTTCCCCTACCCTGAACAATGCTTGCTTATTTCACACGCGTCACTTCACATAAATCAAGCGGTTATCGGTTGAAGCTCGTTTTTAAGAGTCTTATTCGGGGGTACTTTATACCGTTGAGCGTCAATTAACCGAAAGAGGGTTGTTACGTTATAATTGATTTATTTCTGGCAGACCCGCGAGGGCTCTGGAGCTCACTTATTAAAACTAAATTATAATATATCTTAGCTTATCCCTCGAAGCTCTGGGTTGCCGGCAAAACCGCCGGCATTTCCCTGCGTTAGCGCCTCGTGACCGTCGTTGTTCACTCAGCGAGCGCATGCGAGGGTATCGGGTATCGTTGCCCGTTCAGCAACCAGAATAATCTGACCGTTGCATCACGGGCATCCAGTACCGCGCTGCACTCAGCGTGTTAACTTATATAAATTTTTATGAGATTATTTTAATTGACAATTAATAATTTCGAACCTATGTCTAATGAATGTCGAGCTCTTTTGGCAAAGTCCAAATGCAAAGCCTTAAATTAATTTAAAAAAGCGTTGCGCAACCTGCTAATTAACGCACAGTTCTAGTCGGCAGCTCCGGACTAGGGAATACCCTGAACCCTTTTATTCCAACATCAAATAAATTAAAAAAAAAAGTTCCCTTGACAGGGTTCGAACTCGCAACAGACCGCACCACTTGCTATGGCTCTACTCAGCAGCCACACTAATAATTAAGAACTTATGATAAAAAGAGAAACTTTAATAGCATTACACTCGATCTGCGCAGGCACTAGGAGCACCTACATCTAAAATTTCAAGTCTCTAGCTCTTATAGGCTCTGAGATCCTTGCGTTCATACATACGGACGTACGGACGGACGGATGGACGGACGGACGGACAGACCGACGGACATGGCTAGATCGACTCGGCTATGGATGCTGATCAAGAATATATATACTTTATGGGGTCGGAGATGCTTCTTTCTGCCTGTTACATACATTTGCATTTTGCACAAATACAATATACCTGTATACCCATTTTTAATGGGTTCAGGGTATAAAAACGTTTGAAACCTAGACCATTTAGTTTTTTACTGGTATGGATATTGTACTGCTGATAGTTCAACCAAAATTCAAGACATCAGATATCAAGACTTAAAGTCAACAACGTTGACTTGTAATAGATTATGAGTTCTTATTTTTATATGCAAGGAACACCCTAACATCATCAGCATACATTGGTACATTATCGAGGGAAAGTCGATAAAGAAAAAAAACGAGTTACCATTAGAAAACGATTTTTAAACAGTAAAACGGTGCAGATGACTACAGTATGCATTATATTCTTATAGCCACTAATTACTAGGTAACAAAACTTCACGACCCGATAGAGGGTTGGTGAAATAAACGATCTGCTGAAATGTTTCAGTTAAGCTTTCTCTTATAAGCTTTCCGTATAGCAGACAATACCTTATATATTTCGACATAAAACTTAATCACTTACTTATGAAGAGGAATTATAAACGACTCCATCCATATGGTCGGGAAAAATGAAGTGCTTACAACATTTTTAAAATGGGTTTGATTGTCTTGCGCTCACTGAGTAGCGAACTTTTAGTATAAATTTTAGATGTAGTTACAGGCAACTGTATGTAACAGGCAGAAGGAAACATCTTCGACCCCTGATAGTATATATCATCAGCAACACAAGCCGAGTCGATCTAGCCATGTCCGCCCGTCCGTCCATCTGTCCGTATGTATGAAAACAAGGATCTCTGAGCTTATAAGAGGAAATGATATTTTAAATGTTGGTCCTCTTAGTGCCCGCGCAGATCGAGTTTATTTCCGATAAACGATAACTTACCTTGTTTCCAAGCACTCGATTAAAATTGATTTCGAAACCCAGTGCTTATGAGAGTTATAAGAGCTAGAGTCATCAAAACATGTTGCTTTCGGAATAGTGTATAAATATCACCTTAAATTTTATAGGTATCGGTGTGGAACTACCCACCAATATAAGGACAATTTTAATGCAATTGACTTTTTGAGAATATACAAATATTCTAAGTGCGAATAAAAGTACATTTACAAATGAAGTGGGCATTTATGCTTAACATCAGTTAGCGTAATCAGTTCGATACTCATATATATGTACATGTTTACTAAACCTAAGAGAACACAATTATAAACTTACACAATCATTTTAGATTTATAATATTGTATTGTTTATTTAATTGATAATAGTCATAGCACAAAAAGAAAGTGTATCTTTATAAAAGTCCTAGTGACTCAACTTCACGCTTTTGCAGACTGTAAGCCAAACGTTGACAACAGACGATTCGTGTACACCGCTAGCATTGAATGATACACTCCTGCCTTTACATTCGGCCCCTGATCGTCCTCATCTGTCCCACATAACAATATTGCATCGTTCTCGGATACAGAACGCCACAACTTTATGTTATAACTGTTTGTTGTTGTGTTGCTTTCTGACTTATCGACCAATTTGTTCG